GAGCACATCCTGGAGGATATCCAAATTTCGGGATACGGATAAGATGTTCAACGGTATTCTAAAATGTCTGTTGCTGTTAGATTGTATTTAAATTTATTAAAATTAGGACATTCGATTGTAGGACACTTTTCCCAAAATCAGTTTTCCAACGACTTTTTTTTCCAACAAAAACTTCTCCAAAAAAATTTATTTATTATATTAAACTAGATAAAATATAGCGCGCTTTCTGCGTCGTGGAGTAATAAATTAATAATGTATTTCTAATTTTACCATTATCATTTATTTATACACAGAGAAAAATTAGTTTGATGTTATATAGTGATATTTTAGCTGAGGCAGATCATAAAGTAGCTAATACAGCAAAACAGTTTATCTAAGTTAAATTTTAGATTTAATAAACTTGTAAAACTGTTTGTTCGATTGTTAGCGGTAACAACAATGAAAACCCCATGAAAAAATTCCACCAAAAAAGTGATGATGATAAGAAAAACATAAATTAAAACCAAATTTTAGTTTGGTTTTAAGTTCTTTTTATTGACAACATAACCGCCGCCACTTGAAATGCCGAGAAAAATGGATTATGTTGTGTCAATTATGATTACAATATTCACTATTTTGTCATTTATATTTTATACCGAAAAGACAGAGAATGTTGGGATAAAAGATATTACATATCGACAAATGTTGACAACTGTTGAACAATTGCATAATTTAAAACAGTATGTAAGTGAGTTAGTGTATCATTATCGTCAACGTATTCGGACGTTCTGGCCGAAAGGTAATTTTAATAAAATTCTTTAAAAATTCAGTTACATAAAAAAAATTCCAAATAAAATTTTTCTATATTTTTATATTAAAGAGATGTTGTTTGATGTTTTAAAACTGGTATAAATTTCAATAATTATGCTGATATTTCAAAAAAAGTTTAAGATTATATTAATAATATACCTGTCAACATCATAATTATGTTAAAATTTTTCTAAAATTAAATTATTGTCAGAAAGTTGTAAAAATAATTTAATACTATTAAAATTTTTGAAAACAATAATAGAGAAATTTATTGAAAACTTTTATGTATTATCTGAACATCACATATATTAAAGCAATTGAGGGTTCACATACAATAAGGGGACGCGCAGTATTTTCGTTAGCCCCTCGCGCAGCCGCAGAATCGCTGTACGCGGGGACTTTCACTTTCATGCGTATCCCCTTATTGTATGTGAACCCTCAATTGAAATTTTTTTTTAATTTATGGTGACAAAATGTCGGTTGAAAAGGAAGCCCACCCTCATAACAAAAGGATATCCCTAGGATATCCATATCAATGGTCGATATCCTAGAATGGTCCCCCAGGATATCTTGGGATATCCATAGCATATCCCTAGGATATTCAAACCGCCGGTCTGTGGGACATCAACAGGACATCCATAGAATATCCCTAAGACATCCACAAAATATCTATTGGATATTATATCGCAGCATATCCATGGGATATCCTCAGGATGTCCGTGGGATATTCTTAGGATATTCACGGGATATTTAATATCTCAACATATATTTTTAAAGGTTAACATTGTTAAGCTAATATAATGAATAATAATACAATAAAAAGAAAAATCTTATGAGCTTTTAATTTATTTTAAATGAAGATTTGAAACGCATTTTTCAAAGATTTTAAATAAACTCATGCACTTAATGTATAATTAATGTTAATAGTTATTCGTTATTTACGGGGAAGAATTTATATTGTTTAAAGCCAATTTATTTTCTGACAATATTAAGCATATGAATAAAGGAATGAATCACGAATGAGAAAAAATTAGTTAATAATTTTTCAAATTAAACAACTTTCTCGAAAAACAAGTTGCATTTTATTTTATTTATATAAAATTTAATTCACAGAATATTCTTACTCGTAGTCTCATAATGACTTTAAAAACAGTATCCTGAGAATATCTTTTTGACATCCATAAGATATACTGAGAATATCCTGAAAATATCTGTGGGATATCCTGATGATATCTATGGGATATCCTGATGATATCTGTGGGATATCCTGACGATATCTATGGGATATCTGGAGGACATTTATGAAAGTCTATAGAGATATCCAGAAGATATCCTCAGATATCCATGGGATATCCAAACCGACGATTTTTTGGATATCGTTAAGAGATCCTTTTGATATCCATAGGACATCCCTAGGATATCTGCGGGATATTATCAATATATCCCAAGATATATTGTGTTATGAGGGTAAGAATCTGGTTGACATGATATATCGACTCAGAAACGTCGGAATCTAAAAATTTAAACAGGATATTAAAATATAACTAAATTAAATATATAATATAGCCGATAGTAAAATAAAATTAATCATTTTCGGTAAAAAGAAAACAATTGTCAGACTTCTGAATACATTAACTCTTTATTTGAAACTTAAAATGTTTAAAAAATAGGTTAAAAATTATTGAAAAATTATTATTCACATTCATAATTAAATAATTTAATAAATCTCTTACGTTTTCGTCTTATTTTACATATTTTTTAATTTTAAACAAAAATTTCGTTCATGAAAATTTTTTTTGTTCAAATTTCCATCTCAAAATAAACATTTTATTTTATTTAAACAATAAAAATTCCAGTTGTTAGTAAACATTGCTCCTTGTTTACGCAATGATAAAATAATCGCGTTACAGTATCTATATGTATTGAAAAAAATTATTTCCTTCATATAATCGGTTACTTGACTATATATAGTGTATTTTTATTTCATCAATTAATTATTATTTAAATCAATTAAAAGAAAATTTACTTCAAAAGACAAAAATGATTAATTCGAATAATAACACAAGGCTGCAAAAAAAAAAAAATTCCGTTGTCAGAGATCGGGAAGTCATTTCCTGTAATTTTTGGTGCGCTGAATCCTAATCCCACATAGCACGACTTCTTGCTGTAAGGTTACTGTAAGGATACCTGTAGGGTTTGTAAGGTTACTGTGTAAGCCTGCAGTAAACTTGAGGTCATCTTAAAAATTCCGCCTTACAGTAAGCTTACACAGTAAAGCTAAGGTAAGCTTACACAGTAAAGCTAAGGTAAGCTTACACAGTAAGGTCGTGGTAAGTTTACATGGTAAGGTTGTAGTAAGCTTACACGGTAAGGTAGTTGTAAGCTTCCTTTAAGGTTACTGTAAGGTTGATGTAAGGTTACTGTAAACATAGAATGTTGTTAATAAATAAAATTTATTAATATTTATGCGCAGTAGTTTTCTATGGCACATACGGCTGCGCAGTAACTTTTATTTGACAAACCCTATTGGGGTTCATAAAGTACTTTACCAAATATATCATTTTTTATACAAAAAAATTTATAATAAATTTATAATATAATATATATTATAATATAATTATTTTTAATATATTTTCATATTACTTTATATTAACAGTAACCTTACAGCAACCTTACAGTAACCTTACGGGAAGCTTACAACAACCTTACCGTGTAAGCTTACCACAACCTTACCATGTAAACTTACCACGACCTTACTGTGTAAGCTTACCTTAGCTTTACTGTGTAAGCTTACTGTAAGGCGGAAGTTTTAAGATGACATCAAGTTTACTGCAGGCTTATACAGTAACCTTACAAACCCTACAGATATCCTTATAGTAACCTCACAGCAAGAAGTCGTGCTATGTGGGATCTGGCAACGAAAACATCCCATCATGTCAGAAATACTTGGATTCGCTTGGAATTTGTCACTCGGGGGTTTTCGGGGACGCGGATTACGGATATGATATCAGTTTTTAAAAATGCAAAATGGTATTTATTTTGTTGTCGTCAATATCGCTATTTAATCGTAAAGTACAGATTTCAAGGTTTAATTTGACTTCTGTGACAAGTCTCTAGCAGGTCGGATTTACCTGGTAGAAATTTTCAAAAACTGATCAAAACGTTATTTTTGGGACTTTTACCCCCACTTTTCTGAAAATTCTGACGTGATGGGAGGTTTTCGTTGCCAGATTATAGGATTCAGCGCACCAAAAACTACAGGAAATGACTTTCCGATCTCTGACAACGGAAATTTTTTTTTTTTTGCAGCCTTATGTAATTATTCTATATTTAAACAAATATATTTGATAGTCAAGTAAACGATTATCTAAAACGAAAAAAATTCTTTTGCATCTCTTATAATTTGCAAATTATAAGCATAATAATCAAATCAAGGCGTACCTTGTTGATTTCCACAATATATATTTTATAATTAATTCTTCGGCTTGAAACGTGTTTTCTTGAGAGCAGACGGTAGGTAAACAAGATTTTTTAATGTGATAAGTTATCTTTATTCTTCTATGTAAAAAATTATATTTACTTTAAATAGATTTATTATCGATTAATTAATATAAATTTAAGTTCAATTAATCGTTACTAAAAAATAAATTTTAATAATAAAATGCTTTTTGCTGTAGTGACAATGAAACTCAAAAATTTAAGAAAAAAACAATAAGGACAATTTTTAATGAACATATGTATTTTTGCAATATAATTTATGTGTGTAAATACTGAGAAAATGACTCATTAAAAAAATGATTCATTTACTTAAAAAAATTTAGTTATTAAAATTTTTATTGATCTGCCTTCAATATTATAACATTTTCAAAAAAATTATTTGTTTTTGTGTTTTTTATGTATTTTTTTCAATGTTAATTTATTAAATTATTTTTTTTATTTAAAAAGTATTGAAAATAATCTTCTTCTTACATTTAAAAAAAAATTAAAAATAAAAATCTTAAAATCTTCTTTTAATTTGTAGAATCAGTATTTTAAAAATGAACTTTTCTGCAAAAAAAATCCGGACCAATGACTGTCTTGATGAACGAAGATTTTTGAAGTTTCCTACCATAAAATCTTACGAATAATAATGCTCCTCTGGCTCCCCTCTTCGTAGTCGGAATACCATTTACCCAGAGCTAACTTTAACTCTTGCGTTGGTTTTCCCTGGCTTTCATTCTGTTACCGTGACAAGAATGAACTGGACGTATTATTTGTTGAGAAATTAGTTTTGGACATTTATAATTAATTTTCTATTAACACAAGAATTACTCTTCGGTCATTGAACTTTATTATATACATAATAATAAAACAAAAGTAAATAATTTGAAAAAAATTGTTTTTTGAATTGATATTTTTATCTTTTTGAATTATTTTTTATTAATCGAAAGTATTATCCATTTTTATTTGCATGTGAAATATTGTTTTTTTTTTTTAAACAAGTACAGTGGGTTTGTTTTCCAAAAAAAAAAAAGAAAAAAAAGTGAACTTATTAATTTTTATGTCAGTGGCTCGACGATTATTTAAAATGGACAGTTTCAAGGTATGTGTATTATAAAAATTAGTTGTCAAAGTTTTAAAATTTTATAATGTTAATATAATTCATAATTAATTTATAATTATTTTATTAGATTTTATTTACTTTATACCAAGCTTCAGACATTGATATGAATTCCATGAATTGTGCAATATTTTTTTTATGATAATTTTATCTGATGAGTAATACTTTACTGATCTATGTCGTTGTTTTTTTTTTTGTTTTTTTTGTTAGTAAAAAAAATATATAGATCAGTGTTTTTGCACCGTAACCGGTACCAACTTATTTTTAGTGAATGAACTTGACATCTAAATATGGAAATTCTGATGATGTAACATAAGTTTGTATTTTCTTTTAAAATCATATTTTCTTCATTCCAAAAAAATAGATGCAAGTAGCAGCACTTTTTATAAATTTGATAAGATAAATTTTGTGAAATAAATAGAAAAAAATGTAAACAAAATGTTAACATTTAATGATAGAGTATCGTTGTAAGAACGTGGTGGGGAAAGAAAAAATCAACTTGAACACCGGACTCGATATACCTGTCGTATTCTTTAGTTCGGGTGAAAATCGGGAAGAGTAGAACCTTACGATCTTCAATGTACCCGGTGTCCAAGAATTACCTTCTACGGTATTTATTCTTATTCTTTTAAATAACACTAAAATTCTTTAAAAAATGTTTTTTTGTTTTTTATTTTTATGTTTATTTTTTTATTATATTTATTTTTTATCGTGTAAATATTATCTAAATATTAATAATTTAATATTATTCATTATTAATTATTAAAATTATATAAAATATATTATATATTATTTATTATTGAAAAAAATTAGGCATGAGCATTTAAAAAAATTTTGTTCATCTTGTCTGGAAACCACACTGGGCCATGCCTCTGATTGTAAAACTTTTTCTGATTTATTTTACAAAATAAAATTAAAAACAAAATACCTATGACTTTTTTTGTACGAATTGTAACTCTTCCAAAATTCAATTATTATTAAAGTTTTCTAAAATTCTTCACCAAATTAATAACTTTGAATAATATTAATTAATTTGTTTTAATTCAAATAATTTTCATCAAGTTCTTTTAAAATTTAATTATTTTAAACATTTTTATCAAAAAAATTCTGGGGCGTACGATTATTAAAATTTTTATTTTAAAGAATTTTATTAGAAATAATTATTTTTTAGACGAATTTTCATTTTTTGAATGAAATTTCTTTTTATGGTCAGTTGGGGTAAATGGGGACAAAATCCCTATTTTTCAAAAATGACGTATTGTATTGTGTAAGTTTCTTTCTTTAAAAGTAAATATTTGCGAGTTTATTTTTTTAAGTTGTTGTTTAGATTCCCAAGATTAATTTTATGCAGCAGAAAAAATTTAGATAAGCTTTAAACGCATGAAACTGACTGTCCCCATTTACCCCAAAATTTATAAAATTTCCTAAAATTAATGGGGGAAATGGGGAAAGCATAGTTTCTAAGAAAGATTTAAGAAAAAAGTTTCCTTAAGTATATTACTCTATTAAGGAATGAAAAAACTTGAAAAAAATTTGTAGTAGATATATAATAGTTATATTATTATTTATTGATTCATTAATTAATGAATAAAAAAAACAGATTTTTTCGGACGTAAGGTCCCTTTTAACTATCCAGGTCACATATAATCAAATTTATATTAAAATCTAATACCAAAAAAGTAGGAAGATGTATGAAAAAGTAGAATTTGAAAATATTTGTTATTACAATACTTTCTGTATGTGTGGAAGAAAATTCGAAGATTTCACAACAATTTTAAGAAATATGTTCAGAAAATTTTTAATACACTGAGGATTTTTCTATTTATTATTTTTGTTTTTATCTTTCTTTACTTTAAAGAAATATTATATAATTATTTTATATGTGTATGCTCTTATAATATATATGTATATATATTATATATACCTACATATATTCAAATTTAAAAAGCTTGACAATCGTCAGTTTTTCTGAAACCAAGATTATTGATTGCATAATAAATCGATTCGGAATTACAGTGCTTCATTCTTTAACAGATAAAAATGTCTTGTGAAATTAGGATTAATAATAACAGAACCCATATTAAATTTACATTGATGATATAATAATATTAAAAAATAATAGTTAATTATTTTTTATTGAAAGAGTTCTAAAAATAAAATTGTTATAAAATTTTTAAAAATTTCTTTATTTTAGATGAATAGTCTATAATTTACAAAATGTGTGGTACATAGTGAAATTTAAAAATTTTAATTTGTAAAAAATAGGCGAATGATTTACAGATAATATTGATGAAAAATAAAGAATTTTTATTTTTACACTTTCATTAAGTTCTAAAAGATAAATCGTCATGCCTTTAATAAATATATTATATTGAATTTAATTTAAACTTCGTGCACACACGCATTTGGCTCCAAAAATATCACAAAATAATAAAACTATTAAAAATAGTCAATTGTTTATTAATTTTTTATTGTAAATAGAGATTTGTCGCAATAACCATGTTTACTTAAACATTTGCAGACAAAAAGGTCTATGTGGAATTGTAAACAAAAATAAAAAAGCTTTTCTCTTTAATATGCTTCAGATGTCAACCTGATAACAAGGCTGGAATAAAATGGAATGAAAAATATAATACTATTTAAATAATTCGGGAAATTCCCTTTTTACAAAATTAATCTTTTAAAATTATAAACTAAAAAGGAATTTAAATTAAATGTCATTGAAAAAACTTAAATTTATTCCTTATGTAATAGTGGAATTACACCTTACTTTTTCGTTTATGACATTTAATGAAATTAGAAAATTAATAAATCAATTTCACTTTTGGAGCAGAAAACTTTTATTTTTATTGACCTTGGAAAAAATTATTTTAGATTAAAAAAATCTTAAATTAATGGAATTAAAAACCAACTATTTTTTATACTATCTGAAGAAACTTTTTGGAGTTGAAAAAATTTACAAAATTATTGGAATATAAGTTGCAATTTGAAATAAAAAATCGGACAAGTGCGAGTTACACTCGCACTGAAATCGAAGGTTCCGTACTCAAAGCGAACTTATTTGGTATAAAAACAAATGTTTAAAAAATATGTGTTGTGTATTAAATAATATATGTGATACAAAAATGAACAATTTTTAAAAAAAAATTTAAGAAAATTGTTCCTCTTTTGGTATAAAAACAAAAAAAAATTTTTAATTTATTTTGTATTTCAAATAATATAAGTGATACAAAAAGGAACAATTTTGTAAAATTTAAGAAAATTGTTCCTCTTCGTATCACTTATATTATTTGAAATACAAAACAAATTTAAATTTTTTTTTTGTTTTTATACCAAAGGAGGAACAATTTTCTTAAATTTTTTTTTTAAATTGTTCATTTTTGTATCACATATATTATTTAATACACAACACATATTTTTTAAACATTTGTTTTTATACCAATTAAGTTCGCTTCGAGTACGGAACCCTCGATTTCAGTGCGAGTGTAACTCGCACTTGTCCGATTTTTTTCGTTTTTTGCGGAAAAATACATTTTTTTATTAAATTTATCATTTTTCTTCAAAAATTTGATAAAAATTGATCATCAACTCAAATCGCGCTTACATTTTTTCCCTGTATTTTTCACGCAAAAATACAGTTTTACAGCAAATGTGAACAATTTGGGTTGAATATTGTGTGCGCTAGGGAGAATAAATCATTTTTTTCGAAATTTTTTATTTTTCCTTGACAACGCTATGTAAATTGATCCGAATCAAGTTCGCTATATTTTTCCTGTAATTTTCACGTAAAAATACGTAAGTGTACCAAATTTGAGCTCTTTATGTCAAAAGATGTGGCCGCTAGGGGGGGGGGGGGGGTACATAGTCATTTTTAGGCATTTTTCGTAAAAATTCATGGTTTTTCCTTGATAACGCTATGTTAATCAATTCTAATCAAGTTCGCTATATTTTTCCTATAATCTACACGCGAAAATACATATGTGTACTAATTTTCAGCCCTCCAGATAAATTTGTGTGGCCGCTAGGGGGGGGGGGGGTACACGATTTCAAAAAAACCGATATTAGTAGGGTTCCGAACCGAGTACGGAACCCTAAAAGAATACATAATATATTATATGAATATTTTCTAAGATTATTTGTACATAAAATTGACTCGCAAAAAAAGTAAATATTATCTATTCCTAATCCTATGACTTATTAATCTTTTTTTTGTAAGTTTACAAATATGTATTCAATTATAAAGTCATTTTATAAAACAATTAATGTTTATCGTAAACAATATTAAATATTGCACAATTAAAATATATAAAACTCAAATTGCTGTTGCTTAAATAAACGTTTTAATCGACATTTCTGTTAGGAATTTAATTCACTTGTAAATTCGCAAAATAGAATGTAATTATATATCTTTGATTAAAAGCCAAAGTGTAAACTGCGCTTTTAATGCAGGAACTAAAAATAAGAATAATATTCAAACAGAGAAAGATTAATGTAAATTATATGTGTTTCACTCATATATTGCTGATTCTCCAGACACTGGTCATTTTCAAAAAAGAGATTTTTTTTAAGAAACTAAAAATTCAATTCTTTTACATACAAACTACTTTCAGCCTTTTCAGTTGTCAGAATAAAACAGAAAACTAACCTCATTTAATTATTTGACACATTTTTTGAAAATTAAAAGTTTTTTTGATTTTTTTTCAAAATTGGTAATTTTTTTCTTTTTCATTTTTTTCTATAAAGTTTAAAATGTATACTGTCAGCACAAATATGCAAATGTCCTTTCATTTGGTTCTCGAGATATTAATTAATTAATTAATGTTAACAAGAAAAAATGAAATATTTTACAAAGAGATAAATGTATGGCAATTCTGAAGCTGCTAATCGAAAGCTGACTTAATTCCACATTCAACAAGCCTAGCCTATTATGAAATATTTTTGTTAAGTCGATTTTTTATCAATAAAAATTGATTGTTATTACAATTTTCTATAAAAAACCTATTTAAAAAATACTTTAGATTACGGTTACGATTAACCCCTTCACAGTGTAGCAGAAATTAAGCTTCCGTGCCCCGTATGTGGGAAATTTTTTTTTTTAAATTGATATTACCATATAATATGTTCCCATAATATTACTGTAATATTCTCTTGTAATATTACGGTATAATATTACTGCAATATTACTGTAATATTACCTTAATATTAGCGCGTAATATTACAGTAACATTACCGGTAATATTACCTTGAGGCGGACATTTTAAGATCACTGTAAAATTACTGTAATATTACAACGTTATATTACGAATCTTACATGTAATATTACCTTGATATTGAGGTTATATTACGTGCTTCTTGGGATGCTACTAGAGCAGTCATACACGCGGTCAACATCGCATTTGTATTAACTATAGTTTTCTTTTCATGAACATGTAAAAAATTTCAATTAAGCAGAATTTCAATTTAACAAATTTTTCATTCATTCATTCATTCAATTTCATTTATTCAGTCATTGCAAATGGACGAAAAAACAATCGACAGAAAGATTTCGACTTAAATTTTTAAATTTACCACTCATGATTTTCTTGGTAAATTCTGCTTGGTCAATTTTAATAATCTTGTGAATTGTGAATCGGTGAATTGGAAATTCTGGCACTAAAAAATTCGAATCACATAAAATTTTGTTAAATGAGAATTTTGTTAAATTAAAATTCGTCCTAGTTGGAATTTTTTTTTAATAAAAAGTTGGGTAAAGAAAAATTCTTTAGAATAAAAAATTTTTAAAATGAAAATTTTAACTAATGACTTTTATAGGATAATTATGCGCCCCATAAAAAGTTAATTTTATGGAACTTTGTATGAATAAATATAATATTATCAAGTTTTGACTTAAATTAGTGAAGGTCCTAGGAAATTAAGTAATTTTTTTTGGAATGGCACGCGAATATAATAGATAAATTGTATTTATCACTAAGTAAAGTTTAATAAAATATTAGAAAATTTATCAATCATTCGATGTCAATAAATGAGGACAGCATAATATACGAAACGTTATAACAACAGTATTTTTCATTGACTCGGAATTATGAAAAAAAATTTTATTTTATTATAATAATGTATAATTATTTGTCCAATAAATTTGCAATAAAATTATAGTGTAAAGAAAAATTATTATTTTTTATCGCGTGCACTCTTACCAGATTTCTTTCAATAAGTACACGTGACGAGAGAATATTGATCGGCTTTTAGCTGTGCGCAAACTCATGATTGCTTACCTTTAAATGTCAGTTTACTCAAGTTTTCATTTACGAATCATCATGGAAAATTGCCTTCGCAATTATTAAGTTTAATTATTTCTTTGTCGATATTATTATCCTCTCTGAGAATATTTAGCAGGTGACGCATTTCGTTCTACAGTTAACTTAATTTATGTTTTGTTTAGAATAATTTAAATTTAGTATTTTATTCTTTTCGTATTTACTATTACTTTTATAGTAATTAATGATTTCATGTTTAATGCATAAAAAATTGATTTTTTGCATAATATTGTCAACTATGCAACTACATAAAACCTAGTAGATATTTTATTAATTATTAGCAGTGATTATACCTCCAAAAATAAAAATTAATAATAATGGATTATAGTTAATTATCATAAAAATAATTACTACGAACATTTTTTTGAGGACCAATTTTTTAAAACCTGGTAAATCTATTTTGAAATTTTTTTTAAATATAATTTTTGTCAATAATATGTTGAATTATAGAAATATTTATTTTTTTATTTGTAAATTATGTTTTCAAAAAAATGTTTAAAAATGGATTTATCAAGTTTTTAAAAAATACTTTTCATTTAATTTATTTCTTTAAGATTATTTTTTAATTTTTTAATTTAAACAAAACGTTTATTTTTACAATTGAATAAATTTAGTTTTTTTGTTAGATTTATAATTCATTTTTTTTGCTTCTATATTTTTATATTTTGTATTTATCATTTTTTAATTTTTTATGTTAATATAATTTTTTTTTAAGAAATAAAAGTTATTTATAAGAAATTAAACCATGTAGAATAATAAATAATTTATCTATAAATAAACGTTTATAAAGCAAGGTTTTAATCTAACTTTAGCAATTTGCAGTTTATGTGACCATGACATTTTATATATAAAACTAAAAATAACGCAGTTCTGTTATAATTTTGTTTCAAATAAAAAAAATAAAAAATTTTCCATTACAGATGTCAGATAAGAATCCAGAGATGAGAGCAACAGCTGCGAGAATCTGTCGTGAACATTTACATGGAGTTTGGAAACACGTCACCCCGGATAACATTGTTGTTAAACGTATAAGGTACGTTAAGAGTTAATGAAAATTTGGTTCTTATGAAAATTTTAAATCCTGCAAAACAATAACATTTTCGAGGATAATTAAAATTATTACTTTTATTATTATTATTATTATTATTATTATTGTTAAATATTATTTAAGATTATTAAAATCACTTAATTAAGAAACTTTTTTTATCCTAAGAAAACGAAATTTATCGATTTCTACGAGTCAAAAAATAGGAATGTATTAAATTGAGGAAATATTTGAAAATATTTTACTAATGTTTCAGAACCATTAATATAATGAAATTTATTTATTCGATATTGAATCCCGAAAATTCTATATTATTTTTAATTACCTAAAATTGGACATAATATTGAAAAAATTAATTCTTCTCTATTCGAAAATACAATTTATATTTTATTAGTTGAATATATTTCGCAATTTTTTAATTGCAATAAAGTTTTTTTAGATAAATAAAGTATAAAATGGGCGATTCTTAATTTTATTAAAAAGAATTTTTTAATACCAAACATTTTCTTTTGAAATCAATAAAATTAATTTATTGTTTTCTATTCCAAAAGTGGAGTTTACTATTTTTTAATTTCTTTCAATTACATAAACAAAAAAGTAAAATTTAATTCTACTGTAAGGAATTAATTCAGATTTTTTCTAATTTAATAGGGGAATATACTCAAGGTTGGACACCGTTTTGGACTTTGTTTATAATCTTTTTAAAAAAATAAATTTAGTCAATTGAGTTATATTGTTAGAAAGATGTACAAAAGAGGAACACTTTTGCTGCAGATCGTAAATTGATTGGTCTAAAATTATAAAAGTTCTGATCATTTAAAAAAAACTAAATCTCGTCAGGGTTGGACATTATACTCAGGGTTGGACACTTTGTGAAAATCGAAGCGAATTGTGGTTAAAAAAATAAAATAACATTTATAACGTTATTGAAAACGTTTTTTTATCTTTATTTTTTCATTTATACATTATTATTATTATTATTATTATTATTATTTATAATTGACAATTAATATTATTTATAACGTTACTGAAAACGATTTTTAGGTTAATTTTTAACGTTATTATTATTTTTCTAATATCTTTGGCAGAATATGTGCTGTGTGTGTGAGTCAATGTTTATTTGTATATTTATTTATAAATTGTGTCAAATTCATAATTAACAAAGTGCCCAACCCTGAGAGTATAAAGTGTCCAACCCTAAGTAGAAGTAACATTTTCGAATTGTGCTAACCATAACCAGACATACTTTGCGATTCGATTTTACACTTCATTTTTTCTTCAATCATGAACCCCACAATACATGCAATAAACTTACCTTACCGATTTCTTGTTTTCTTTATTCATTTTTTATGTTTAAACACATCGCTTACAAAACTTTTTTCGTTCCTATAAATGCACCGACGTCACAGCAGACGCTACTTTTGATCCTCCAAAAATGTGAAGACACAAAAAGTTAGGTTTCACTACGGGAAACTTCGCCACGTCCGTGCATAGAAGGCGCTAGTGTTCTTATTTTAAGAAAATCGAAGTGTCCAACCCTGAGTATATTCCCCTATTTAATTCTTTTTCAATTTCATTTTCAAAATTGGTTGTCTTCACAGACTTCCGAAGGTCGAATTCTATCGGATTAAACAAATAAAAGATGTATTCTTATTAAAAGAATTAAAAATTAATTGTTTCTTAATTTTATCTAACGAAAATTGTTAAAATTAAAAATTTACGAAATATGCTCCGCTAATGGAATACTAATTATATTTTGTAATAGAAAAAAATTAATTTTTCAAGTATTCTGCCTAATTTTAGAGTATTGGAAAAATATGCTGGTATTTTTATTCTTCTTAATTCAAGTCTTCTTACAAGGTATAACCTTTTTACCAGGATATTTATTTTTTTTGCTTTTTGTTGTAAACTGTAATTACTTATTAATTTTTATTCATTAATTAATTAAAAAAATTTAACTTGCGATTAATAAAAGATTTTGTCATATTTTTCGGTGCTCTTCGTGTGACTGTCGAAGTTTATTTATATATATTAAAAATATATTAGGGTCAGTTGGGGTAAATAGTCCCTATTGAAAAAAAACACGTATAATTATACGTATAATTATACGTGTTTTTTTTCAATAGGGGTGACAGGAGCTAAATAAGGAGAAGAGGTATTGGAACTTAATTTACAGTTTTAAAATTAAGTTCAACGTCAATATTTTAACCTCAGATCACCTACAAGAGGTTCTGAGTATTGTCAAGCTTTTATTTTGACAATTGGCAGCAAGATAATTCAAGCTATCGCTTAATGCATAAAAACTTGAAAATTAAAGTCAAACTGTTTCAGTATTTTGTTTCGCATTTGAATAAAACAAACTTAAAAATCATACAAAATTTTTTTCTTATTCCTTATGATTTTTGTCAATTTAGTTAATAATAACAAGCTGTCCCCATTTACCCCAAATTTTAAGAAATTTTCTAAATTTTGGGGCAAATGGAGACAGTCAGTTTCATGCGTTTAAAGCTTATCTAAATTTTTCTCTGCTGCATACAATTAATCCTAGGAATGTAAATAACAACTAAAAAAAACGCAAATATTACCTTTTAAAGGAAGAAACTTATGTAATTTGTTAAAAATATGGATTTTGTCCCCATTTACCCCAACTGACCCTGAATATAAAATAATAAATTTTTTTTTTAAATAAATATTTACCTTACAGAAATTTTAGGTACCGAATTTTTATTGTTATAAAATTTCTTATTACACAATTTTTTATTTAACATACATAATTCTAATTTAAACGAATTTTAATTTCAATTTTTTTTTTCAACAGAATTTAAAGTGATTCGAATTTTTAAATGGCCAAATTTCCAGTTCACCGAATCTACATTTGTCTGAATTTTTGTTTGTGCGAATTATTATTTGATAGATTTCTTAAAACGCCGAAAATTTCTGTCAATTTTTTGTTTTGTTATTTCCAATTTCGGACAAATTAAGATTTATCGCTTTAAGAATTTTATTAAATAAAAATTCGTAACAATAAAATCTGAAAAATGAAGATTTGGTGAATTGGACATGCTAACATTTAAAATTCGAATCGTTTAAAATTCTATTAAATAAGAATTATGCTAAATTAAAATTCGGTTAAATTAGAATTCTTCTAAATAAAAATTTGAATAAGTGAAAATTTGTTCGAAAATAAATTCTGTTTAATTCTAATTCGAAAAATAAAAATTCACCTGAAAAATAAATACATCAAAAAAAATTCTTGAAAATGAAAATGCTAAAAATGATTGTCATAGATTAATCATGCACTCCATATATAAAATAGTAAAGAATTATTTTAAAGTTAGTAACGAAACCAGAAATCATTAAGAAAAAATTATTTTATCAAAACTTGAAAAATTAATTGACATTTTGAATGTATGACAATTTTTGTTTATTTATAATAGTTGAAGTTAAATTTTCAAAAAACGAAAATGAAAAAATTTTATCTTTTTTCCATTACAGTGGCGGATTAAGCAATTGGTTATATAATGTTCAACTACCAGAAGGCACGAATACAGTTCGTGGTGAACCCAAACAAGTTTTGGTACGATTGTATGGCCAAGTTCATGGAGAGAGGGCATTGGAGGGTCTCATAACTGAATCAGTTATTTTTACACTTTTATCAGAAAGACAACTTGGTCCAAAACTTCATGGTATCTTCCCTGGTGGTAGAATTGAAGAATACATCCCTGCTCGTCCTCTTCTTACAAAAGAATTGTCTGATCCAATATTAAGTGAATTAATTGTTGAAAAAATGGCAATGATCCACAAAATGCAAGTTCCTATTAGCAAAGAGCCCTCGTGGATTTGGGAAACAATGACTAAGTGGTTGAATATAGCTACAGATATACTGGAGAATGTCGAAGATATCGATTCTCTTCAACTTGACAATGTTAAGGCCATCAAGTCACTTAAACTTGAACATGAAATCAAATGGTACAAGTAAGTACCAGTCACTTTTTTTCTATTCATACCTAAATTGTGTTTCTTGTTCTTTTTTTTAATATGTCAGAATCTATTTTGGGGAATTAAAATCATTTAGGTCAAATGATACTTATTTGATATCATGTCAGCTTTTTCATTTCTTAAATACTGAATATATTGATTCGAAATTTCTAAAAATTATTGTAGCTAAATTAGGAATTAAATTATTTATTTTTTCTAAAAAAAGACATTAATCGAAAATCGAAAGTAATATAAAATTCAAATGAGATGCACGACCAGATTGGCCGAAGTAAAGTTGCGCGCACTTATTTAAAATAATGTAAATTCAACTTAAAAAATTTTTTAATATAAATTAATATATTACGTTTCCATTAATTATTTATTTATGGCAACAAATTTCCGGTTTAAACATTATGAAAAATATTGTTATTAATTAAACTTTATTTAAGGGAAATATAGTAAATTAAATAAGGTAATGAATTACTCATATAAATTGGAAATTGCATATTATATTAATATATTATTCGATTTAAAATAAAATTCGTTATGGTAAAGCATAAAATACGTGCTAATAACACCCAAATTAGTGATACATTTTTTGTACTTTCAAGTATCACCTAGACATAAACAAAATTTTAAAAATAATTTTAAAAAATAAAAAATTTGTCAAAATTTAAAAAATTTCCAAGAAATAATTTAATTTTGCATAATTTTTAAAAGTATAAATAAATTACAATTTTTTATTGAATAAAAGAAATGATATTATTTCTTATTATTATTATAATTATGAGGCAAAATTCTCTGAATTAAAATTCTTGTATATAAAAAATCATGTATAGAAAATGACTGTAAAATAAAAATTCTGCCAAACAAAAATTCAGTAGCTAAAAAGTATTATTATTTAAAAATTCGTATAAAAAGAAAATCTGTTAGATTTTAATTCGAAAATTGAAAATTTTGTTTAGAAAATAATTATTTCTAATAAAAATTAGAAAAAAAATTTAATTATTTAAAATAAATATTCTAATTAATGATTCTTATGAGAAAATGCACCCCAAGATGCTAATTTTACTACCCAAGAAGCACGTAATATAACCTCAATATCAAGGTAATATTACATGTAAGATTCGTAATATAACGTTGTAATATTACAGTAATCTTACAGTGATCTTAAAATGTCTGCCTCAAGGTAATATTACCGGTAATGTTACTGTAATATTACGCGCTAATATTAAGGTAATATTACAGTAATATTGCAGTAATATTATACCGTAATATTAAGGTAACATTACAAGAGAATATTACAGTAATATTATGGGAACATTTCTTTACGAAAAAAATCTACCCATCCAGGGAATCGAACCCCGAACTCAAAGCACACGAGTCCAGAGTTTTACCAACAAGCCAAATTGACTTATAATATATTTACGTTTTTTATGCTTTATGAATAACTCAAATCAGTCTGTAATATTACTGTAATATTACTGTAATATTACTGTAATATTACTGTAATATTACCGTTAATATTACAGTAATATTCCCGGTAATATTACCTTGAGGCGGACATTTTAAGATCACTGTAAGATTACTGTAATATTACAGCGTTATATTACGAATCTCACGTGTAATGTTACCTTGATATTGAGGATATATTACGTGCTTCTTGGGTATTAACTTTAAACTTTAAATTTTATTGTTCAGTGATGTTATATACTTAATGCATTATTTTCTTTTTCAGATCATTAGTGCATCAGCAAAAATATCCTGTGATGTTTTGTCATAATGATTTACAGGAGGGTAACATTCTTCTACGGCAAAATTCCTCAAAATCAGATCTAGTAGTAATTGATTTTGAGTATTGTTCCTACAATTATAGAGGTTTTGACCTTGCAAATCATTTTGCTGAATGGCAGTATGATTATAAAGTGGATAATCTTCCCTTCTTTATCGAGAGACGAGGATATGCACCCACAAGAGAGCAAAAGGTAAGTCTCAAAAGGGGGGGTTGGGAGAAAAGTAAAAAGATTCGGTAAGATAAACACTTCTTCCAATTACTGCAACCTTGTTGATCAATATTATCAATTTTAGTAGTCAATATTTACAATCACTACAATTTACAATCTCTAAATTAGGAATTTATTTTTTAAAAAAGCAGTTTAAACAGTTTTTTTTAACTTTCATTTCTAATTTTTATTTAAAAATTAAGTATAATCAAGTTTTATATCATTCATATTGTAGTTTGCTATTCATTGCATATATCATGAATATATCATTATTTATTGTAAATCTTTTTGTATTCATTCGAGGATGAATCATTTGTAGAATTCTTTTTAACGAAAAAATAAAATTCATTTTGTTTCGACAACCTTTTTCAAAAAATTTTACTAAAAATTATTTCTAAATGTGATAAAAATTATTTGCATTTAAAACATGAACATTATTTGCATTCTAATAATAAAAATAAGTCACATTGAAAATTTACTTACATATTTTTATCTACATTCGACTAGTATAGTGATCATTTTGTGGTAAAAATGCACATTTTATTTTTCCAATATTCTATGTTTGTTTTTAATTTCGTAAAGAATTCTGCGCAAATGATCGATGCTCAAGATTTTTATATTAAATTTATAGGCATAGAATTTGGACTATTGCGGCAAAAAACACGTCTTTGGATAAATAGGTTTGAAGATAACTTTCTTTTTTTTACTTATTTCTTTAAGATTAAAGGTAAATAAATTTTGCAAAGAAATCTCGGAGTGTTTCCTATTGAAAATTCCTACAAAGTTTCCCACGTGTGATCCTTTAAAACCAATCTATAAGGAATCCTCATAAGATCCTTTGTAAGATCTTACGTGGGATGCGTTTAAGGATGCTTTCAGACAACATACGACATTACTGTACGAATTTGGTTCAGGCAATGTTACAGGAAACTATATAGTTTTCCATATAGTTTCCTACGTAGGATCCTATAAAGGCTGTCACAGAAAATGAAAATTAAGCAAAATTTTGAATTTTTTTTTATTTATGTCATTGTTGCTTTGCTTGTTTTTCGACTTCTAGTATTTTAGAGAAAAATATGAAAATAAATTTGGAGGAACTGGGATTGAACCCGGGTTCGACGCGCGCTAGCTAAAGACTCTATACACTAAGGCAAAAAAATGATTACCTCCAAATCAATTTGTCCTCAGACGTTTTTTTTGCTCCAGATACGACGCTAGTCTGGATTCTTCCAGGGTGAAAATTTCCCAACTGGGACACCTAAAACTGACTTTTAAAATTTTAACTATTTTTTTCATAATCTATTGCAAGAAGCCGAATTAAAAACATTCCTGAAATGCGTTTTTAAAAAAATTAATTTTTTAATTATTTATTAACAATTGAATATTTTGTTACCTTTCCACTAAATTTGCAATAACTCTGTTGCTTGTTAATGAAATTTAATAAAATTTGGTGAGTATAAAGAAAAATGATGTCTCTTTGAAATGCAATAGAAATTTCAATTGACCTTTATTGTTAATGCAAAAAAAAAATTGTTTATTTAATAAACAAATGAATATTTAAACTACTTCTCATATGTTTAGGAAAAAATTTCAAAAACCACATAAATCTACACTTTCTCAACTTTAATTTAAAAAAAAATCTTAGTACCTTTAAAAAATGAGTGAATTACGCGAATTTGAAGAGCGACGTACAAGCGCCGAAACAGTCACCACTGCCGCGCGCGGCGCGCTACTACGTGTCGATGCTTATTCTCTGTTATCGAATGATACTAATTTATACTAATATAATTTATATTAATACTAATTTGGCCAAATGAAAATTTGGTTTTGCGAAAATTTAATTAAATAAGAATTTGGTTAAATAAAAATTAGACTTTAATAACAATTCTATTTAAAAAAATTCGGTTAAATAAAAATTCTGCTATTGAAAAATGTGGTTCTAGTCTATAATTCGATAACAGAGAATAGGCATCGACGCGTAGTAGCGCGCTGCGCGCGGCAGTGGTGACTGTTTCGGCGCTTGTACGTCGCTCTTCAAATTCGCGTAATTCACTCATTTTTTAAAGGTACTAAGATTTTTTTTTAAATTAAAGTTGAGAAAGTGTAGATTTATGTGGTTTTTGAAATTTTTTCCTAAACATATGAGAAGTAGTTTAAATATTCATTTGTTTATTAAATAAACAATTTTTTTTTGCATTAACAATAAAGGTCAATTGAAATTTCTATTGCATTTCAAAGAGACATCATTTTTCTTTATACTCACCAAATTTTATTAAATTTCATTAACAAGCAACAGAGTTATTGCAAATTTAGTGGAAAGGTAACAAAATATTCAATTGTTAATAAATAATTAAAAAATTAATTTTTTTAAAAACGCATTTCAGGAATGTTTTTAATTCGGCTTCTTGCAATAGATTATGAAAAAAATAGTTAAAATTTTAAAAGTCAGTTTTAGGTGTCCCAGTTGGGAAATTTTCACCCTCCACTAAATTTAATTTTGCTATGCTTTTTTAAAAATAAATAATAGATATATTTTTTTAAATTTAAGTTTAAAAAAAGTAAAACATAGAAAAAGCGACAGGTTCAGGTTGATATATTGAGGGGAGGGTAGGACACCTTGGCGTGTGTTGCGTGTGTATGTATTAGTTTCACAGGACCACCATTCGACAAATTGGGGGGCAATTGATACTGCCTGAGTTCTGGAACACGACTTGCGGTGTGCGTGGAAACCCGAGGAACTGATGCCTTTTCATCATGGCCTGATGACCAGTGCGGCATCAACGCCTCTTCAACATTAAATAGAGTACCTCTACACGCACTCTCAAAATAGTCAATTTTTAATCCGCAAAATTCAATTAACTACTACTACCTACCTTTTGGCGTGACAAACAATGCGCAACTGCAATTCGAGGCTCTTGTTAATGGCCGCAAAAAGTACAAATAGCTTCGTCCAATAAAATTAGAAAAAAAATTGGTCAAGCTGATGTACTATCTAATCTCTAAATGTGAGATTCTGATTTAATATCCCATGACATTGTAGTTATTTTTACTATTGATTGAAAAATATTTTTTTCTATTCAAAACACAATTTTTTTAGTATTTTCCAAAGTGCTATTATTTAATAATTTACTCCCCTATTGAAAATCCCCACGTGGAAAACCACTTGGGATCCTATGAAATAACTATATGAAACCCCACTCCTATATAGGAAACCATATGGTTTCTCATATAAATCCCCATGGAAAATTGAGACAGGAATTGACATAGAAAAAAATCAAAACGAGGTTCCTCATTTTCCATGTCAAATACCATGTTAAATATTAAATGAAATATTTTATCATTATTTTGAAAAATTTCCCCATGTCAAACCCCAAGTCATTTTCCAAGTAAAATCCTTTATCATTTTTTTTTAAATTTTCCCATGTCAAACCCCATGTTGTTTCCCATGTGAAATCCTTTATCATTTTTTTGAAAAATTTTCTCATGTTATTTCCCATGTGACATAGGAATTGACATGAGGAATGACATGGGAATTGACATGGGAAAATTTTTCAAAAAAATGATAAGGGATTTCACATGGAGAATGACATGGGAAATGACATGGGAATTGACATGGGAAAACTTTTCGAAAAAATGATAAAGGATTTCATATGGGAAATGATAAAGGATTTCACATGGGAAATGACATGGAGTTTGACATGGGAAAATTTTTTAAAAAAATGATAAAGGATTTTACTTGGGAAATGGCATGGGGTTTGATATGGGAAAATTTTTCAAAATAATGATAAAGGATTTCATTTAATATTTAACATGGTATTTGACATGAGATTTGACATAGGAAATGGGGAACCTCGTTTTGATATTTTTCTATGGTTAATTCCTGTCTCAATTTTCCTTGGGGATTTATATGGGAAACCATATGGTTTCCTGTTTAGGAGTGTGGTTTTACATAGTTTTTGACATAGGATCCCATGTGGTTTCCCATGTGGGAATTTTTAATAGGGTCATTTTCAAAAACAATGATTTTAATATTATTTCGAGCTTTTGTCATCATTGGCTTTTTAATTTTGTGTCTTTTCATTCTCAATTAATCGAATATTTCTGAAATCTTTTAGTTTTAACTTTAAGAGATTAAAATTTTTCTTTACTATTTAACTTGTAAACGTTTTGATATTGCGTCAAAAAATTTTTTAAATTGATTAAATTCAGTTATAGGTTGTTACTCGGAGTTTTTCGAAGATATTGATTTCGAATTCGAAGACAATTGTTTTTCAAATTTTCTTTGGAGTCGCTGATTACGAATTTAAAGTCATATATTAAAATTTGAAAATTATTATTAAAAAAATTTTTCTCTTGATTTTAAATGCCGAAATATTACCTCAACCTTCGTGGCAACATTTTCACAATCCAGCGTTAAAAAATAAAAGATAATGGATTGATATTTTTATTAAATTTTATTCATTGAACATAAAAATCATTTAATCATATCATATTTTTTTAAAGTGATAAAAAGTAAAAAAGGATTTTTAAAACAAATTTTTTTATTTTTAACTTAAGATATGGAATAAAAACTTGTTTTTTTGTAAATGCTCATTTGAGCAATTTTGTTAAATGAAAATTATTTTTTATTAAAATTTTGCTAGACATAAATTCTGTTAAATATTAATTAGTAGGAAAAAATTTTTAAGTATTAGATTTTATTTTTTCTGTGCCAATTATGGGCGTAACTCCTTATATTATCATATTTTTTAAATATTTATTTTTAACGAAAAATGTAATTTCCAACACTTTCATTGAAGAAAACTTTAAGAAGTAATGATTTTTCGGTATTTTTTGCCATGAAAAAATTTATCTATCAATTATTATTAATTACAAAGCACTTTATTATATATTTTCATTTCTATAATGATAAGTCTATAATTTTTGTTTTATAGAGACAAAAATTTATATTTTAATTATTATTATTTAGTTTTGTAGAAAAAAAATTGAATTGATTAATTTAATTTATTTAGAAACGAAAAAGGAAAACAATCTTATTATTTCGTTTCTCTAACTTAATAAAAATAATTTTTCAAATGTTCGGGAACATATTTTTCTAAAATTAGAAAAAATTAAATTAAAATTGTAAAATTATTTTGAATTGAACAAAAATTTTGAGGAAAAAATTCAATAGTTAGACTGAAATTTTTTCTGATTGTATTTTAATAATGTTTTTTTATCAACAGCTGAATTTCGTCAGGAGTTATTTGAAGAGGATGGGAAAACAAGGTGAAGCTGAGGAAGAAAAATTAATGTCAGAAATTAAAGTTTTCTCATTGGCTACTCATCTTTTTTGGGGATTGTGGGGAATTGTCAACGCAAAAACATCTGATATTCCATTTGGATATTGGGTAATAAAGAAACATTTTTTCTAACAAATGCAATAATTAAGAAAAATTACGTATAAATTTTTAAAATTGGTTTGTTTAATTTAAATCAATATTTTGATTTTTTTTAATAAAATTATAAATGAAAATTTATTTTATTCATATATAAAGTTAGTGACCGTTATAGTTTATTAATAAGATTTATAACAGGATTATTGGTCAAAAATATTTTATTAATTTATTATAAAAATAAAATCAATGTGTCGACGTTTCGGGTCGGTACCAACTCTTCTTCAGAAAATTTATTTTAATGAAAAAACATTTTTTTCCAGGAATATGCAGTATCGCGACTAAGAAATTATCAGGAACTAAAAGAGAAATTAATAGCCTCAGGTATAAATGGAGGAATCAAAAGGAAATATTTGGACTGAAATATAGGAAGATAAAAATTTGAACGTAATTTTTAATTCCATTAAAAGGAGTTAAGTTTGTTATACGGATATGGGACAATTATAACAAGATTAAAGCGATTAATGATACTTAATCATGAAAATGAAAATGAAACATTGTGATATGATCGTTCTAAAGAGACTTAAAAATAATGTTTTGTACTGAAAGTAAGGCTGAGAATAGAGACAAAAAAAGAGGATAGGTACAGAAAGAGAATGTGATATAGAGTAATTAAGAGCATGAAGATGTCCTTATTTTTAATAGGACAGTAAATCTCAAAATGGAACAGTAGGAAAAAAAACTATTAACTAAATAGTACTTCGAAAATTGAAACGTGACTTACATAGGTAGAAAATAATTGAAGCAAAATTACATCTGTCGAGAGTATTAATCAAATTATAAGAACTGTCAATACGAAGATCTAATGCACTGAAAAAAATTTAATTCAAATAATCAGTTATTTCACAATTATTCAATAAACATTTATTTCAATCAATCAATTATTGTACAAATATAGTTTATTTAAATCAAATGTAAAAATTATTTGGTTTAAAAAAATTTATTTGAAAATATAAATAAGTAACTTGTTATTTGAATCACAAATTTTTTATCAGTGTAGCATTATTTGAAAATTAATTATAAAAAATAATTACAAAAAGTTGTAACCTGCGAAATTTTCTTCCGTTTTTCTAAAAAATTGATAAATATAGAAAATAATTCGCAATAATCTGCGTCAAAAATTTTTCTAAAAGAAAATCGTATTTTATACTTTTATTAGGTACTAGTTGCAATTCGAAATTTTTTTTTAAAAGTAAATTTCAATACTTATGTTACTAAACTGTATTAGATACCTATTGTATTTCTTTACTATATTTAAAAATAATTTGTTGAAACGTTTTTATTAAATTAAAAATTAGAACACAAAAAAACAAACTGTTAATAATTGTATTACTGTAATTTGTATTTATACTACTTCTTATTTATGCAGTATGAAAATTTTATGTTTATTCACATCAATTCAATGTAATTTGAAAGTAATGCAGTGGTTTTTATACCGTTTTCGCTACTAAGTATAAAACAAAATTACTTTCTAAGGCCTAGTGATAAATTCTTTTATAATGTATAACAACTTTATTTAAAATTTTATAGAAATGAATTTTTAAAATTAAACTTTTCCATATTAACATTTTATTAAATAATACAACATGTCGTTTGAAAAAGTTACTTAATCCAATTATATGATTATTCGCTTTTAACAACAAATTGTACAAAAAATTCAACTAGATTTTATAATCATTGTATTTATTAGACCAACATGTTTAAATATAATTTTCTAAGTTATTTTATTACAATAAATTATATTTACGTTGGATAATTGTATTTAAATCATTATTATAGTTTTGCTATTACTAATAATTATCCTGGAATTCTTTAATTCATTTTCTCCCCATCTGACCTTAGTTGAATTTACGATTGATTTTTTTGATAGGTTTTGACTGCAAAATTATTTTTAAAGAAACCTGCCCTAAGTTATAACAAATGTAAATTTTTTTTAAATATACTTAATGAATAAAAACATTAGAACATTCATAAGATGTTTATTTTTTTATTGACTTCGATTCAATTTTTGGTTTTAATTTTAGAAAAAAGTCATAAAACTTGGAATTTCTAAATTAAAAACATTAACGAAATTTATAAAATCAAATGAATTAAATCAAAAGGTTTTTATCATTTTTGGGGTCAGAAATCTAAGTTCAGATTTCAGAAATTGAAAATGGAGGATCGAATATAGCCAGGAAGTAGTACAAGGATACTTCTTCTTCTTATTTATGGCCATATATCTGTTCAACTTATTATTTGTGATTTAGTACTTCCATAAAGAATAGTATCCTCAAACTGCAGTTCAAATTTCAAGTAAATCCCTTAAAAACTGTGAAACCAATTCTTGCCCCCATTAAGAAAAATCTATTTCGAGAAAAATGAGTTTAAAGTTTGCAGTTATAAAAACATAAATTAACACTTTAAAAAGTTAAGCTACGCTCACAAAAATTACTACTCGAGGGTTTTCAGGGAACAAATTGTTCCCCTTTAGAAATAATCGATTGATCACAATTGAGAATGATTCAATTAACCCTTCGTATGTAAACGTGGGTCTTTTGTGTCCAGCCAAAACTGTTTAGGTAAATATCTTTTTAAAACGCGATTACAACCTGCTGCTATCTTCACCTAAAAAAGTAACGTAGGAAAGAGTAGGTACTATAACGTCCAAAGGTGACGATCCTAGTCCTTTATTGGCAGCTACAATAAACTTAAATATTTTCACTGGGATAGATTTGACCCACGTTTACAGACGGCGTGCACTCGACTCGCAGCTAAGCAATTTTTTTTTCATCGTGTTTTTTGCATAACTAAATTTTTTTAGTCAGTTTTATGAACATGTATAAACGGCTAAAGCGTTAAGGACTTTGTAGAATTGGCATTGTTTTTTTTCGTTACCGCCTCTGGCGGATTGTATGATGCGAATGCTCCACGAAGTTCGCGGAACATTCGTGGAACACGGGATTGAAATTGAAATTCTGTCCAAAATGTATAAAAAATGATTAAATTGATAGTATAATTATTAAAATGAATAAGTTTTATGCATTTTAAGATGATTATTGTTGAATAATTATGAAAATTTAATGTTTTTATTAATTTCAATCTATTACAGTTTATATTATCAACATTTGAAGGGTAGAATGACAAAAGGGGTCAAGCGCCAATTTATCGAAAATGAGGTTTTTGCATAAAAAAATCAAGAAAATTCATTTACACATTTCTGTAGAAGGATTTCCTCTTTTATTGCGTATTTAAATCAGTTTTTAATAAAAATTAAATTAATAAAATAGCCTCAAATTTACTTTATTGCAACCTGATTGAAAAACAAAAGAAAGTGGTGAGTCATTAATATTATGCATAACGACTTAACAAATTTAAAAACATTGCTTTTTACAAATCGAAAATGCCTCGCAGATGCGGAAAAAAATCTATTAATAAAAAAGATATTGTTAAAAAGAAACGATATGAAGGTGAAATGTTTTTATGAATTTTCATTCTTCACATTTTTATCCATCTGTTCAATTTTGATCAAAAATATTATTTTTTTAGGTTATATTTTTATATTTTATTTTAATAATATTTTAATTAATAAAATTAATAATAATAATATATTTTCAATTTTAAACAATTTTAAAATAATTTTGTTATTAATTTTTAAATATTTTTATGATTATACTAAGTGAACAATTGAATTTAAAGATGAAAGTATTGCTCAATTCCAAAGCAAGCAATTAATTCGTAATTTTCTTGAAAACAAACAATTTTTTAAAGGAATTTTTTTTCTATTCATTTCGTCGATTCCATAGAAAGAAACTAATTTTCCAGTTTTTCTTTAAACTGTATATTTTTTTATAATTAATGCTCAAAGAAAATGTGCTCAGTTGATATAACCTCAAGGCACCACAGTTTTTTTTAATTTTATCGTTAATATGGAGGTTTATTTCAACAAATTGTTGTTTATTTATTAAAACATACTAATATATCGAAACGGTTTTCTCAGTTTTTTTAAATGACCTACAAAATTTTTAAAAATGTTTTTTTACTTCCTGTAAAAACAGTGAATTGGCGCTTCACCCCTTTTGTCATTCTACCCTTCATTTGTCGATAATCAATAACTCTTATTTGTTAAACGGAAATATTGGTGAAAAAAATTAATTTTTTTATTAAAAAAAAAGTTGAAAAAATTAATTTTAAACGGAAATAATGGTAAAAAAATGTATTATTTTATCAAAAAAAATTAACTATACCCAAGAAGCACGTAATATATCCTCAATATCAAGGTAATATTACACGTGAGATTCGTAATATAACGCTGTAATATTACAGTAATCTTACAGTGATCTTAAAATGTCCGCCTCAAGGTAATATTACCGGGAATATTACTGTAATATTAATGGTAATATTACAGTAATATTACAGTAATATTACAGACTGATTTGAGTTATTCATAAAGTATAAAAAACGTAAATATATTATAAGTCAATTTGGCTTGTTGGTAAAACTCTGGACTCGTGTGCTTTGAGTTCGGGGTTCGATTCCCTGGATGGGTAGATTTTTTTCATAAAGAAATGTTCCCATAATATTACTGTAATTTTCTCTTGTAATATTACCTTAATATTACGGTATAATATTACTGTAATATTACCTTAATAGTAGCGCGTAATATTACAGTAACATTACCGGTAATATTACCTTGAGGCGGACATTTTAAGATCACTGTAAGATTACTGTAATATTACAGCGTTATATTACGAATCTCATGTGTAATATTACCTTGATATTGAGGTTATATTACGTGCTTCTTGGGTAATAATCTTGGTATTCATTCATTCATTCATTCCGTCCGGACCCCTGCTGGGTTTTCGGTGACAGAGGAAAGAACAAGTTATGGAGAGAGAAAGATATATCTTTTTTTTGCAAATGAGGGTTCGCTTGACCTGCAATCTTTTAAAGAGGATTAATTAATAACTCTGAGGACCCAGGTAATAATTTCTTTCTCCCTTTATCACGTGAAAAAACTATAAAGAAAGTCTAAAACTAAAAAGGTAACGCATACCTTTCTTTCTTACACCAAGGAATATAACATAAGTACTTCTTCGTTTAACATTGCGTTTCTCTATCTAGACAATTCAAAATGGCATAAAATCACTTTTTTTCAATTTTATATATTTTTGTCCACTTTTTGGTATTACCATAAAGTTTGAACTCTTTTCCACATAATGCATATATTCTATTTAAATTATATTGTGATTAAATAGAAAAATTTCAAGTTTTTGGAACTTGATACATTTTTTTGTTTTCAAGGTTTGTGTTAAACAGTGGGACACCTATTATTAAATAATGAATATTTGTTTCAATAATAATATTCTGCTTCATACTTTATAAATATATATATGTTTTGCATTAAATAACGTTAACAAATGTTGCAAAACACTTATATTTTAATAATATTTTACATTTTTATAATACGATGCCAAGTTTCATATAAAAAATTGTTATTATTTTTTTTACGTTTACAGTACTGCTGATCATACGTCATAATTTCGTCATAACATAAAAACAATTTGGAGGAAAATTTGAATAGTCGTTCTCTTATCAAGTGTTATTTTTCAGATGTTGCCGAACAATAATTGTAATAATTATAAATTTTGAATTTTTTAATGTTTTTTAGCATAAAAAATCACATTTTTAGTCGCTGTGTAAGTATAAATGCGCTTGCGTATAGATAGTGTGTTGTCATAAACATGGTTTACATTTAAATTTTGGTCGAGTTTCTTTAGTAGTTTTTCAGAAAATTAAAGTGACCTACTGTTTAAACTGTCCCACTGTTTATCACTCTCCCCTACCTGTATTAGAGCCCCAGAAAATTTTAATAAAAAAATTAAAAAATTATTACCTGGCCCCTGAGAATTAATCTTCATTAACAAAGGCTCTATTGTCCAAGGATTGGTATTGTTTGTGGTAATTGTTCTGAGAGTCTAATACTGGTATATACATATTTTTCTTATTTTGAAAACAGAAAGAAAGAAGAGTAAGATTTTTAGGCGAAGATATTCTTATGTTATTTTGAATCCTCTAGATAGAGAAATGCAATATTAAATGAAAATTATATGTTATATTCCTTGATATGAGAAAGAAAGATATACATTACCTCTTCAGTTTTTGACTTTTATCTTTATATTTCCTTGTGATAATACACGGAAAAAATTTCGAGACGTCGGACGTGCCGATGTCAATGTAAACCTACTGTACATTTCATTATGTACTCAGAGTTAATCTTCATTAACAAAGGTTCTATTGGACAAGGGTTGGTACATCTTTATTTTTCTATATAATAAATGTAAAAAAAGAAATTATTACCTTGGTCCTCAGAGTTAATCCCCATTAACATAGGTTCTATTGTCCGATGGTTGGTTTTTTTGTGGTATTTGTTCCGGGGTTTTAATACAGGTATAAATACGTATATATGTTATTTGTAATGAACTACTGATTACTCATATAAAAGTGTCCTTTTTGCACTTATTGGCTGATCAGTAGTTACTGATTCATAGTTACTCATAGTTCTCTCATTCTTTTGGATATTTGGTAGTTTTATTGGATAAAAGGCAAAATTGGTTATATTGGATTAAAGGCAAAATTGGTTATATTTAGTAAAAGGTAAAATTAATTGTATTGAATTAAAGGAAAAATTGCTTATTTTTAATAAAAGGTAAAATTGGTTGTATTGAATTAAAGACAAAATTGGTTATATTAGAGAGAGTGAGCAAAAGGGTTAAAGATATTTAGATTTTCATCAATCAAAAATAAAATTAAACGAAGTATACTATGGCCAACATAAAAGAGTATGTTATTTTAAGTGATAAAGATTTAAAAATTATTGAAAATAGAAATAAATTGTTAAATTACATGCATATGTACAAATTTGAAGAATTATTAAGAAAAGATTCCAATTTATTTTTCAATGTGCAAAGTACTTTGTATGTACAAATGCTTGA